ATACCACAACACATCTTCTCGTGCTGGCCAGAAAAAGTGGTTCTTTCCAACTTTGTGCATGGACTTCACCTTCACATGTGTTTCACTGACTTCTAGGATGGTCCCTGGGTAGACAATGTTGTCATATTGCAAAATACACCATTGCCCCACAACATCTTGATTGTCCCACTGAATAACAGCCTCTTGGTTTTCATTTGTTTTGAGTGACTTTTTGAGACCTCTGAAATTTGCGCTGGGTCTTCTTTTTTCTTTCTGCGCTACTCTTCTAGCTCTGCTTGCAGCCTGTGCTCTTCTCCAGCATCTTTGCTTTTTCCTCTGCTCTCTTGGTGTTAGCTCTGCCACCAGTCTGACTCTTCCCAACCCTTTGTTGCGTTTCCATCTTTCCCTGTCTTTTGCTAAATTCTCCTCTCGTCTGTCTGTATTGGCATCTTGTCTAGCTCGTTATCTTCTTTGTTTCTCAGCAGCTGAGAGTGACAGATCTACAGTAAAAAATTAGGTTATATTATAAACAGTAGTGTAATTTAGTCAGTAATTACTTTAAAATGCATTTAAATATTTTATTATTTCATTCATTCATACATTTATTAAATTGTACTCCTTAACTTTTAAAATTACTACTCAATAGTTGCATGATGTCAGCTCTGTTACTCTACCTTGGTAACAGAGTTTGACAGTAACAGAGTTGACAATTTCAAACATTTCTGTTAAAAACTCCACTTGCTAGCATAAATGCTAAAAGCACATGTCACCAACAAAATCATGGTTTAAAAATCTTTAGATAAACATCTATTTTTAAAAAATCTATAGTGTTTTTCTTATGATATTACGGCAACAAGATTGACTTCAAAAAAATTTACTCTTGGTTTTAACGCTTTTCATATTGAGATCATTTCTCAGAGAAGGGCAGACATACCTCTGCGTGCTTGAGATCCAATCAGTAAAAAGAGTTGACATCATTTCATTCAGTTTATATAGCTGTGGAGTGTAATTCTATAAATTTAGAGGGAAAGAACCATAAGGTAACAGAACAAAGTCCATGCTCAACAATCCAGGTATAAAATCCAACATTTTTCAGTCAGTTCATCTGGACAGTTTCTTTTTTTGTGCTGAAACGTTTCGCCTTCGATCCAGAAGGCTTCATCAGTCAAGGAAACACAACTAAATTGATTCTTCCTCCAACAGCTTACTCCAAAGTGGAACAAACCAGTTCTGCTTGTGATAAGATGGTCTCTTTGGTGCGCACCTCCTCCATTGCCGGCCCTTTTCCTTGTTGACAGTCTTGTCAAACTGGTTGAAAACAACAAAGTCCATGCTCAATAATCCAGATATAAAATCCAACATTTTTCAGTCAGGTCATCTAGTCATCGTTGTGTGTTTCCTTGACTGATGAAGCCTTCCGGATTGAAGGTTAAACGTTTCAGCACAAAAAAAAAGGAAACTGTCCAGATGACCTGACTGAAAAATGTTGGATAAGGTAACATCCATCCATCCATCCATCCATCCATTATCTTTTACCCGCTTCTTCCATTTTGGGTCACGGGGGTCACCGGTGCCCATGTCCAGCAATCACTGTGCGAGGGGCGGGGTACACCCTGGACAGGTCGCGAGTCCATCACAGGGCCTGGATAAGGTAACAGAGTTGACAAAATATTCTCGGACACATATTTTTTAATGAAAAAAGGTGTTTTTAATTTATTTACTGTAATATTGTTGCATAGATGACTATTTAGGCTGGTTAGAAAAAGAATACATTGACAGATTTCAAAAGAAAAATACTGAAAATAAACATTTTTCCTACATATTCCAAGATGGGAAAAAAAACAACAACCCAGTGACCAACTCGGACAACAAAAAGTTATGATTATTGAGCTATATAACATTGAGCTAACACATTTAAATGTAATTATATCAATGTTGTGAATTGTGACAAATGAAAACATTTCACCAAAGCAGACCAAAAATATTGACCCTGGACACCAAATGTATCTACAATTATAGAATAACCTGATGCATATAAATATGTATATATACATATACATATACATATATATACATTTATTATTGTCTTGTTTATTTTGTTCTATATTGATTAACAATGATAATGATTTTGCTGTTTTGTCAACCCCTTTATTTTCAATAAAGATAAAACTTTAAATAAAATCCGTCCAGAAACGTGCGCTGTCCGGATTCACATGGATCTTTAGGACCCGGCAGGTTTCTGGTTGGATTGTACTTTTGCCTCGTGGAGTAATCCCAGGGTGACGCATGCGCCTGGGTGTCTCCTCGCAGTGTGCGGCCCAGTGGAGGAGCGCGCGCAGAGAGTTTACTGTGTTACCTGCTTAAAGGCGCCGCCGGCTCTGGGGAAGCTCTCAGGTAGTTTGGAGTTTGTTTTCATCAACAACAAGAGCAAACAACAGAAATAAATAGCTCTAATAATAAAGTAAGAGGCGGAAGTCTTCAGATTAATCCAGAAATGGAGTTTCCGGGGAAGTGGATTAGATCCAATTAGGAGGAATCAGAGCAGCGAGCTGTTAAGGATGCGGAAACGACAAGAAGAAGAAGAAGAACAGAAGCAGGAGAAGTCTGGACCCGGATCCGAACAGGCGCCTCCATCTGAAGACATGTTCCAAAAAGTTGGAGCCGTGCGTCCTGCCAGTCAGCCAGTGCTATGAAGCGCCTCGCTCCCGCACCAGGAAACAGCCATCATGTCAAAAGTCATTCAGAAGAAGAACCACTGGATCACCAAGGTGAAGGAGTGCGCGGTGGTTCGGGACCCCAGCGGGGAGTTGGACGTGGAGCTGCGCGGCGGCGCGCAGGACGGACAGTTCGCGTACATTGGACACATCAGGGAGGATGCTGTGCTCCTCCAGGAGGGGAGACTGTCCGAGGGGGAGCTGCTGCTGGAGGTGGAGGGGCTCTCTGTGTCTGGATTACCTCTTTATGACATCTACACTGTGATCAACTGCTGCCAAGGTCCCGTCAGGTTCAAAACAGTCCGCCAGGGTAAGATCAGTCACCTCTCACACAAGAAATGTCTGTTTCGTGTCAAAATGTTGATGTGCTGCTGCTCCATCCTCATCCTGCCTCCACAGCTGCTGCAGCTCACACCAAGCAGTTCTGATCCTGGGCTCATTTGGTCAACTCGGCTTCTTTATCCTGTTCGGGTCAGAGTTGCAGGGTCACAGATCACATTAGAGCAACCTTTAAGAAGTGTGACACACTCTGCATTTCTCTGCAGCGATGCCTCTGTTGTCTCATTATCACGAGTCTCAGTGAGAGGCGTGGGGTTCTACAACGAATATTCATCTTTTTATAGTTCATTGCGACTGATTGCAACAATCTCTGTCACTTAAAGACATTCCAAAAGCGTCAACCCAAACAAAAGTTTTTTTGGGGTTTAATTTGAGATTAATCAACTCAATTCACTCAAACTACTTGGGGAAATCCTTTCGGCTGCACTTCAGTCTGAATTTATGTTGCCTTTATGTAATCTGAAGGCATCTGCTGCCCGTGAGAGTTAAGACGCCCCTGATGGGCAGCCGTTGTTATTTGTGCAAACGCTGCTCTTGTATTAGGCGAGCTCGACCCATTGCTTCCAGCCTACTGCATCTGCATCTGTCTGCAAGTCAGCCAGAGGGAGAGGAAGACATATTCAGACTCCAGCGTCTTCTTTTCTTCTCTGTCCCAGTGTGCTGTGCATCCCAGTCCTGGCTGAATCCGAGTGTCATTTTCTGCCTGAGCGAATGCTGAAATAAGTAGAACACTTTCAAGCAGATGCCTTGCAGTGTTTCACCTCGCACGTATCTTCCCACACACACACACAGTCAGACTCAGTTTGTGGCTTACAGGTGCATGCACAGTTTGTGGTAAAGCTGGCAGTGCCTCCTCTTTGGGGAAATCATTAACTGTTGTTATATAAGTGTTGGTTAAAGTCAGTGTAGCATCTTTGCCTTTGGACTACGTGTCCAGAAGTGAGCGTTGGACATGGGCACACTGAAGTCACCTGGCACTTATACTGTTGTGTGAGTGGACTGGTATCACCTCTGGCTAAAAAGCAGAAAGTGGGTGATAATGCGTATGTGCATGTCTGTATGTGCGTGTGTGTGTGTCTGTTACCAAAATATCTCAAAACCCACTGAAGAGATTTTAATGAAACTCTCAAAATTAATCTTTGGATCTACAGCTACAACTCTTTATCTTTTGGAGTGAGCAGCTCAAGATGGCCACCACAGCTAAGCAAGCTTAGCAAACACAAAACTGGCTATAACTCTTGTCATTTTTATAGATATTGAGCTGAAATTTGGAGTGGTAGTAACTGGGAGTCATCCCCAATACATAGTTTGAGTGTTAACTACGGGTGCATGATTTATCGGCCCCGATCTCCTTAATTTTGGGGGATCGCGATCGGCCGATACCGATTTTAGAAACCAATTTTACAGATTTTTTTTGTAGTTTTAACAACAATTGTATAAACTTTGTTTATATTTCAGAGCACTACCTCATGGCCAGTTAAAACAAGGGTATGTTTTCAATAAAATAAGATGAATCGAAGGTGCATTGTGACCTTATAACACCTGACAGTGTCGCTTATAAGACAAAAACCGGTATCGGCCAAAATCGTAATCGGCAGGTCAGACTTTTTAGAGATCGGTGATCGGCCAGAAAACCGCGATTGGTGCACCCCTAGCGCTAACAAATTGTGTGACACCTCGGGATGTGTTACAACAGTATAACGGCTAAATTATCATAAGGATAACAACAAAGTCCATGCTCAATAATCCAGGTATACAATCAAACATTTTTCAGTCAGGTCATCTGGACAGTTTCTGTCCAGTTGTTAAAGAAACTGTCCAGATGACCTGACTGAAAAATGTTGGATTGTATACCTGGATATTTGAGCATGGACTTTGTTGTTTTCAACCAGTTTGACAAGACTGTCAACAAGGAAGAGGAGGAGGGGCCGTACCAAAGAGACCATCTTATCACAAGCAGAACTGGTTTGTTCCAATTTGGAGTAAGCTGTTGGGGGAAGAATCAGTTTTGTTGTGTGTTTTCTTGACTGATGAAGCCTTCTGGATGGAAGGTGAAACGTTTCAGCACAAAAAAAAAAAAAAAAAGAAACTGTCCAGATGACCTGATGGAAAAATGTTGTATCATAAGGATTTTTTTTCACCGATACCAGGTGACTTTAGTGTGAAAAGGTCCAACGCTCACTTCTGGACACGTAGTCCAAAGGCAAAGATGCTACACTGACTTTAACCAACACTTGTATAGATGAATAAATGACTATATTACCATTATTAGGATAATGCTACTTCAGAACTCGGAGATGAAAGATGGTGGCGATATGTATTGTTTCAAGGAATGTTGACTGAGCCCGCACCATAAAACATTTTATTTTCCACTTAGATTTTGTTTATTCCTAACTGCAACACTTTGTCCTCGTGAAGAAAGCTGCAGTGCTCTCAGCATGGACAGAAAGGATATCCTGGCCCATCTGTCATCAGTTTCTTGCATGAGTCAGCAGATTCTCCATCTCTAATTAAAGGAGGGTGGGGATATTCTTCGATTATCTCAGTGGCTCAAAGATCTCCTTTGTGCCTGGCAATCTGTGGCGTTCCCATGCACAACCAAGTCCAAGCTGTCCCAGACCAGACGAGGGAATGTCCTGTCTTATCAGATCTCTGTACAAACTGCTGTGGGTCACATTACACGAGGCCAGGCCACCTCAGAACTCTGTGTGGAAACACTATCAGTGCTGTGAGGCCTACAGGTGTGTTGCTCACACAGAGGAATGAAGACACCAAATCCACCTGAATTAAGGACTGGGTTCTAGGGGAGCACATTTTCTTGTTTTATTAAACCCCTGACTTGTTCAAAGTCAGACGCTTTTTACATCGTTAGCCCGTCAACTTGTTTAATGGAGACTTTTTTAGAATGTAAAGAGAAAAAAATGTAATCTAATGGAAAAGAGTTATGCCTGCTGTTGGGTCAAGACACAGAAGAATTTGCCACATCTTGCCTGGTCACTTGGTTTGTGGACCTGTCTGTTGCTTGCCACCAAAGAGAAAAGGGTGATCATGCTTTACCCTTATTTGTGTGTTTGTTTCTGTCATTGTCAAAATACCTGACAAACCATTGTTTTTATTGAAACAATCAAGAAATAATCACCAACAAAAACAACAAAGTCCATGCTCAATAATCCAGGTATCCAACATTTTTCAGTCAGGTCATCTGGATAGTTTTTTTTTTTTTCTGAAACGTTTCACTTTCCATCCAGAAGGCTTCATCAGTCAAGGAAACACACAACAAAACTGAATCTTCCCTCAACTGCTTACTCCAAAGTGGAACAAACCAGTTCTGCTTGTGATAAGATGGTCTCTTTGGTACGCCCCCTCCTCCATTGCCGGCCCTCTTCCTTGTTGTTGTCAAACTGGTTGAAAACAACAAAGTCCATGCTCAATAATCCAGGAATACAATCCAACAATCACGAACAAATTTTTGGTGTCAATCTGATTTGAAATGGTTATCACAGTCAGCTGTCATTGGCTAACATAAAGATGGCTAACTCAGCAAATAACAGATCCTGAGCTATAATTTGGTGTGGTGTAGTAGCTGAGCAACATTCACAATAAGTACTTAAAGCACTACACATACGGTAGACCTGTTGCAATAAACAATAAATCAATTAATCGCATGATAAAGGAAAATTATCAACCTCATTTTCATTTATCGGCTTTATCGTTTCTTCGTCTCTCTTTCTACTGAAAACTACGAATGACAAAAAGGTTAAACTCCGGTCTCTTCACTGACCCCTCCCTTTCCCTTTTCTCTTTAAAATACATTTTAACCATCCAAAATCGTGTTTTTGGATCGTTAAAAGCAGCTAAGCTGAGAAGCTAAGCTACGAGCTAAGCTAACAGGCCGACCTCGGGAAAAACCTCCGTCTTGTCGAAGCTCCAAAATTCACGATTGAAACCTGAGCCTTCATGTAAAACATTGTTTTTCTCTGCCTGATTTTTTATTAAAAGCTATGTGTGACAAATGCTACGCTAAAGAGCTCAAACCACACCAAGCATCCGTCATTTTGAGAACCAAATAAAGGAAGGAGAGACAGCCCATGTCATGTCAAGGGGCCTCCCTCTCATTTTTCTTAAAGAGACACGCTGCTCGCTCCCTCACTATCTATCCTTCAGTTCAAACAGTCTTATACTGCCATCTGGTGGTTGAAAAAAGGTACTACACACAAAACAAATTAACCAACATTTCTTCTTAAATTTCACAATAATTATTGATAATTGTCAAATTTCAAACAATATTATCGTTTATCGCAATGATTTCTGATACAATTAATCACCCAGCAATATTTGTTATCGTGACAGGCCTAACTACACATTCTTGAGACGTTTGCTTTAAGGTTTGACTCTAACTGTTGGTATCCACCTTGTTTGTCTTTTATCAAAATATTTCATGAAGTTGTGGACAACCCTCAGGACGTAATCATTTACCATGTGTACATTTGTACAACTACAACTGATTAACTTTTATAGTCAGCATAACTTAGGAGAACCACCACAGCTAGTCAGCCTTAACCTACACAAAAATGGCTTTGATTTAGTTAAATTTACAGATATTGAGCTAAAGTTTGGTGGTTAGATGAGAGTCGTCCTCAACATGTACTCTGAGCCAAAACACATCTTATTTATTAACCTTTATTTAACCAGGAGAATCCCATTGAGATCACACATCTCTTCTGCAAGGGAGGCCTGGAGTCTCAGTAGACTTTGCAAAACAGCATGAGGTAATTGATGTCATTTACCAGGTTTGACCAAAGCAGCTATAACTTCATCTGTTCTCATCATTAGATGGTCTAGGTTACAAACCCTGGCATGAAAGGCAATGGGCAATAATCATTATTTCAAGAAATGCTAGGCATTATTCCAAGCTTTGTGCTTGACATTTTTGTCATGTTGAAACTGTTGGAAATTGTGATGAATGGTGAA